CGTAATATTGTATAATATTGTGTATATTTCAGTTCCTGAGATATATAAGTTAGCACATATGAAATGAAAAGATAGTGAATTACTGTGGAATATCTACCTATTTTTTTCTCCCTCTTTTTTCTCTCGATTACAATATCCTATATAGTAATTCTTACTATGAAATACTCGTCATATATTATGCGCGGCGTGGTATCGCGAGTAATTTGCTTAATTCACGTGCACGTCACGATTTTGTCGAGCATACGTTACATTGGCTGACGATGAGATGGTCAGATCGAGGGTCGAACATAGCGGAGGAGAAATACAACGCGTTTGAGGCGATATTTATTTTGAGATTCAAAGTTCCGTTTATACGAGAGCCAGCTGGTGTATCCAACACGTCTATACGTTTTCACAGCGCGAGATGCTCGAAGGCAAAACTCGATTCTACTTTATCTCACGGTCATTTGACGAGAGAGAGAACGAGAGAGATAGAAAGAAATCCGCGGGCAGTCCGAGGTCATGGGGAGTTTTAAGTAATTAAAAGGCAATTACTCTCTTCCTACATATATACACACACACACACACATTATATATACATATTTTATATATATATATATATATATATATATATATTACACACACACACACCCTCTCTTTCTCCCTTTTTTATGCCTTTAGTTTCAGTTTCAGCAATGTCGCGTGCTGTCACGCAGTCGGAATCGCTAGCAATGTGCCGAGATTACCGTACCGTGTGTAGTCAGAAAGTCACATCTTAATTTCGCGCGCACTCCCGCGAGACAGCTCGACCGGAAGTTCGGCGCACTTTCAGCGCGCGAAGAGCTCGCTGCACATCCCTCTTGCTCGCGTCGACCTTCGTCGAACTCGCGCGCTTCCTGAAGTTCTCCGCGTTTTCTCCGCGCTTCCTCCGCGCACTTTACGACTTCACTGAGCGGATAACACGGCCGTACCGTCGGCGCGATCGTCTACGGAGCACAGGTCGGTCTATCAGTCTCGAGATTTGACACACGAGGATGGCGCGCACGGTCTCCCAGGTTGACGTGGGGCGTGCTTCATGAGCGACTCACATCCTCCGTGACTCTCGCCGGAAATACCAGACAGAAGCCGACCGCGGCTCGTCGCGTCTTATTGTCGCAGCTGTTCGGGGCCAAGTCGAGTCGCGAATCGGAGCACCCGTGGGGGCTCCGTGGGGGCCCAGCAGCGAGCGCAAGGCTATGCGATATCGCGAACCACTCGGCGTGGCGGTCGTGTCGAATCTGGGCCAGCCACGGCGTGCTGATCAAAATAGCACGGCGTCGAGATAGCTTCCCTCCTGTCCTCTCTTCTCCTCTCCCCGCGTCCTTTGCCACCCCCCGGCCCATCGCTTCGCACTCCACCGTCGAGAGCTCGTTCGTCATCTGATCCCCCCACACGCACGCACGCCACACGCAATGTCCACTCCATTCCCCCGTCCTCCGGCCCGACTCTCTTCTATGTAGAGTCTTCGCGACAGCAGCAATGACGTTCCCCGCCTTCGCGATTTGTACGTGTGGTTCGTCCAATGAGAAATTCTGTGCGCGTTCTATACAATACCCGTTCACTGAGCACTTAGTGGACTTTTATTCGATTGGTATATTCTAGATCTAAAAAGAATAAATCGATCATATGCAAAGACGCATCTAAATGCACACTGCGTCGTTGAGTGAGCAATGCCGACCGGTCGAAGGGAGACGCACGCAGGAAAATTGATTCTGTCAAGTCTCCTCTTACTCGCAGGTGAATTTCTGTAGCTGGGCGGAAGGAGGGTCATTGCCCGTCTTCTCTTTCGTCTTCAGTTAGGGAGGTCGCGTGTGCCTCGAGAGGGTACACGAGCGGCGGCGTTGACGCAGTATGTGGCACGCGTTTCAATCGTAGTCGCTCTTGTGTTAGTGGTGTATCGTTGAAAGTCTATCAAAATGCTCGCTCCCGAGCACGATTCCGAGGACTGGCAACGCTTGATCAACTTCAAACTTCGATTTCGCCGATCATTGTCAGCCAAGCGACACATAAATAAGCGCGCCATAAATTTTCGCGATAGGATGAATCGAGAAAAAAAAATATCTGAAAATTTACTTCTAGGATATAAAGTTTATTTCCACAAAATAATATGGGATATTCCGCTATTTATTGATACTTGTACTTTTACTCTGAGTAAACACTTGTATAGTTTTATACAACCAAATGGCAGGAAAACAATTCAAAAATGCGAAAAATGCATGGAAGAAAAAAGAAAATATGGTGCACATAACCGGAAATATTTAGTTGTGAACAGCATAGTTGCATTTTAGTTTATTTTTATATGATGATAATATTTGATAATTTAGTTATTTTGGTAGTTGATATTACTCAGTTATTTTGGCACATCAACCAGACCAATATAGTTGGGCGCGATCTGATTGTGGCAATAAAAAATCGATTGGATTGATACTTATTATAGATAGACTTTGATTGCAGCAACCAAATATTATCACTGTCACTTAGTAATTGCTCTGCGGTTACATAATTAGCTGTTCCATATTTTACTACTCTGTAAGAATTGATGTGTTAAATTTAACACATTTCATGTGTCCCAATGTGTCAAATCATCCACTCTCATTTATGTGTAAATTTAACACAAAACAAATGTGTTAAAAAGTAACACGCATAATATGGAAAAAATTAACACAATTTAACACTTGAATACATATTGACATATGTATAATGTTAAATTAACTAAAATAAAACGTTACTTTAATATTTGAGAGAGGTAATTAATCTATGGTTTTAATGAAATGAAAATGTTAAATTGACATAATCTATGTCTGACATATTAAATATGCCAATTTAACACAAACTGTGATTCCTGACCCATGAAATGTTAAATTTAACACATCAGTTTTTATAGTGTATTGAATCTGACATAAGCAGATTTATGTATGGCTCAACCATACATGTTTTCCGCGTGTGCATTATGTCGGTATCTGACTAATACTTCTTTAAGTGATAATTAACTGATTCATTGAGGCATACGCGACGCCGGTCTGTCGGCTAAGTCGCGTTCCGCTAAGTGTCGCTCGACTTAAATCACATGTTACTCGTTGTCGCAATGTCTACAGTCGCTCTTGCAGAAACGGGCAAGACGGATTAGTAATCTCCTTTCGGGATCACACGCTATTGCATGGGATTGCATAAGGTTGCATGGGTTCTATTCCGCATTGGGCTGTGCGCAAGCCCGATAAGTCGCTGCCGATGTGCGTCTGCGACGCGTCTTGCAAAGCCGTAGTCCGATTGTCGTCTGTTAACACGTGGCCGCATGTTTTAAAATCCATCCACTAATGAAATTGGCAGTAAAATCCTAAGCAAATTGAATAATTCTTGCAACAATCGACTATGGTTAGTCAATTTGCTTGCTGCTTACGTCTAGAGATCCTTGAATCAGAGCCTGGCCATAACTGCAAAATCCTACGAGAGAGAGGGACATATTTTCAGTCTCTTTCTTTGTCTTCTTAACCCAATCTAACCGATAGGAATATTGTATGGGATTTGATAAAACACAACGAACCAAACAAAACTGGCTGTCTTATGGCCAGACTCTGATTCCGGATCTTTGTTTACGTCTTATTGTTTACTGCCAATCTCACTATAAATGACTCTTTATTCACCCTTTACATCGTGATCGTCGTCAGTGCAGGAACAACGTAGAAAACGCCGATCGCTGGGATGCGCGACTTTCACGGTCATTCTCGCCGCACGACGGAGAGAAAACGTTTTAATGACGTCAAAAGCCGCCCGACCGGATAAATTTACTGGGTCACTTACGCAGTGGCGTGCGCATTTGCGCGATCCGCCTGCGTCGTCATCGCCGTCGCTCGGCTCGCGGAAATTTCGACGCAACCCGCTTTCGGAGAATCGACGGCGGATCGACGCGAGGGAAAAGTTGGCCGCCAGTGATCCCGCGACCCCGCGCGTCGGCGCCGTCTACGTCGGTCGCGGTCGCGTCGTCCTCCACGTGCATCGGCGGGATAACGTCCTGGTACCGTTCGAGACCGATGTGTCCTTCGAGCACGAAACCCTTTCCGCGAAGCATAACGGAAATGATTAAGTGCACGACAAGCACCGAGAGCCCGCGACTCGCGTCGCGAGCGTTACTTTTCGCGGACATTATCGCTCGGCACGTGGACAATAAAGTTCAACGAGGATACTTCGCGTGAGCTTTAGAATGTATATCCTGTCCGTCTAATGGAAGAATTTTCTCACTATGGACAAATGTTCGAATATTCGAAAAGTGCGGGGCTAGCAAAAAATTTTTTTTTATTTTCTGGAATACGCTTTGAATTACTGAATTGCGGTTTTCGGCACAATACAGCACAAACGTAGCACAATGCGATACAATTAATAAAAATACAAAAATCGAAAAGTGCGGGACTCTAACTTCACACGCGTTGAATATCCTCAAGAATGGTTTCGAGAAGAAAGAAATACGAACATTTTTCCATCTTTGGTGGTATGAGATTTCCTGACCTCCGGTCATTTTTCGATCCTCCAAAAAGACCTGCTCGGATCTTGGAAACATAAAATGGACCGGGCAACACCATTATGAACGTTGCCTAATGTGCGGACAAATGGGATCCTTCGTCAATCTTTTCTTGTCCACGAGCCAATACACACGCATACACACATACAGCGTTATATTCTACCTCATTCTTTGGCTGAAAATCGCGGAAGAAAAAGGAAGAAAAGAAGAACTATAAGACATGGTACGTTTGCATACGCGGAAGCACGCGGCCGAGAGCCTGGTATTTCACAAATGAACCAGTTAAGTTACCGGAAATCAATAACGAGCGAGCGCGGCCCGGAGGAGTAGGAGGCGTTATGACGTCGTCGCAACGTGATGTCACACCGGCGTCCACGTGTGGGTGATGCACATAGGTGCATATATGCGAACAAAAAGCGGGAGAGGGAGGAGAGATCGCACACGCTGCGGTGCGTATGATAGATGGTGTGCACGACTTCTTCACTATCAAAATTGTGAATTTTTTCCACGAAGTATAGTGGGAGGGAGAAAGATATATGTATATATATATATATATATATATATATATATATGCCGATATGTGTCGAGCGGCAAAGCACATAGAGATATGACGTCTCACGTATTAAGTGTCGAAGTACAATATCTCGCACACGCTCGCGCGTGTGCCTTTGTCGACACGTTAAGCGTTTTTATTTACGTATTATCTACGCTACCTTCGTCTCTCTCTCTCTTTCTCTCTCCTCACGTCCCCTTGTCGGCAACTTTTCCAGACGACAACGGGGCGGGGTTGAACGAGCCTTGGGGGGCCGACGAACCGTGCGCACATTAGGCAACGTTCATAATGGTGTTGCCCGGTCCATTTTACGTTTCCAAGATCCGAGCACGTCTTTTTGGAGGAACGAACGAAGCCGTTTCAATGACTTTTCAGACTTTCAGAATGCACAATGACCGGAGGTCAGGAAATCTCATACCACCAAAGATGGAAAAATGTTCGTATTACTTTCTTCTCGAAACCATTATTGAGGATATTCGACGCGTGTGAAGTTAGAGTTCCGCACTTTTCGATTTTTGTATTCTTATTGTATCGCATTGTGCTACGTTTGTGCTGTATCGTGCCGAAAACCGCAATTCAGTAATTCAAAGCGTATTCCAGAAAACTAAAAAAAAAAAAAATTTTTGCTAGCCCCGCACTTTTTGAATATTCGAACATTGACGCATAATGTCGACGAGATACCGTCGGCCTTTCAAAGAGAAAGTGGCCATTGCAATCACAAAGATTGCTGAAGAGGCAGTCTAAAGCGATGCTGGGGATTAGTAGCCCTAACCTTCGAGGTGATTTTTAGATGTCGCGCCTACGCGACAGTCACGCGCTATTCTTGGGCGGAAGAGCGTTTATAAATAATTCCCTTTAACATGCACTCCTGCTCGTCCGCGAAAAGCGCGGCGTGGACAACGAAAGCGGCCGCGGCACGAGCGGTCTCAGGTGCCCGTTAAAATCGATATTTCAAGTAGGTCAGTGGGTTACCAGACGAAGGATGATAAGAGAGACCTCCTCCTTCCTCCTCGGACGCAGGATCGCCGGCGTGAAAACGCGACGCGAAGTAAAACGCCCCTGTCGGGCGCGCGCGATGCAGCCGGAAACGTGTTCGGCGTTCATTTGTAATCGTCTTAGCAGCGCGTCAGATTCCAAGTACAATTCTGCGCGGTCTCTTTGGCGCCCGGAAA